TTATGTACAAGCTGCCCAGTGTTGGCTAACAATACGAAGAATTAAATTGTGGCAAAATGCTACAAGTTCTTCAAATACCTATAGAATGATAGGTTTCTTTTTTTGTGAGTGTAAAACACTTAAATACATCAGGTCAAATGAACAAGACTGTTTATAAGATACCAGGATATGCAAAGTTTATATTAGGTAATGTACTTTAATACCTCACACTTGACATCATTACGTCCTATTAAGAATTTTCCAGTGTTATAGAGGTAAAATCCTAGCTTTGATAAATTTGACAATGATATTGTAAATTGCAATAATTAACTTTTTAATGATTCAATAGAGGTGTGTTGCCAAATTCACCCCAAATGCCAAGATGCTGAGGTTGAGTTGCAGATGGCAGAAACTCTTAAGCGTGCACTGAGCAAGTGTGGTGGTAACCTGTTCCTTGTTAAATATATTGACAAATAAAAGTGATGCACTTGTATTGGTCAAAACTGTTAACTAATAGACACAAAATATAGAAATTAAAATATACAGACTATAATATAGCCAAATTTGAAATGCATTCAAGACAAAAGTAAAATATAGAATACGATGACCTCTCTGCTAAGTTATGTACAAACTTTGTCTGAGCTTCATATTGCATGAAAATATTTATTTTTGGCATAAGCTTAGGAGCAACTTTACTTGTATAGCAGGTGTTTATAATGATTAATTTAATCAACATTGTTTGGGTATATAATAATATTATAGTCCTTTGCAGAAAGATGAAAATACAAATCTCAGACCTTTTGACTTATGATTTTATTAATAGCTCTATTGTCTGTCAAATTGAATTGGTCTTTTATATATATATATATATATACAGGCATCAGCTGCTTTGAAATCTTCCAGGACACAAACACAGTCTGATTCATATGAATAGAGACTATATCACAATTATAGAAATGAAAAAATGTAAATTTTTTTGTAATGTTGCATCAAAAAATGTATAATTTGTTTTTATAATGCTGTATCAAAAAATGTATAATTTTTTTTTGAAATGTTGTATCAAAAAATGTGTAATTTGTATAGAGAATGTTGTATCAAAAAATTTATAATTTATTTTTGTAATGTGTAGAATTATAAATGGACTTTTCTCTACATTAAAATACTTTTATTGCAAGCTTTCAGCCCTCTTACCAGAGCCTTCATTAGGCAACAATGCACTGAGTGAAAATATTCATTAAACTGTAGAACACTGCTTTAAAATATGTATCTAGGCAATAGTCGTAACAATAACTGACATCTGGTATCAAAGTTATTAAACATATGGAATTATATTTATATTCTATCAAAGCAATTGATTTATATTCTATATTCATGATTTATATTATATCAAAGCAATCAATATATATTATATATTCATCATAATTCTATAAACATATTTTAAAGCAGTGTTCCAGGCTTACAACTGAACCATATAGGGCCAATTGTACAGTCCATGAAAATGTAAGCAACTAATGAAAAAACCTCCAAATACTGCTTTTTTTGGAAACTAAAATGAAAAAAATCCTACATGCAGGCAAAAATGCAACTACAAAGCTCAAAGATATTTGCTATTATAAACACATACACTGTTATATAATTGTATGAGTTAACAGCTACATCTATGAGGCATAAAAAATAACTACAAAACATAAAAGTAAAAACTACACAAATAAAATTTGCTTACCTGGAAATGATGTATGAGATCTTTTGGGTTTACCTGGCTGGCATCATAACTAAGTACATCAAAAATTCCACAACAATTAAGTCGCAACCTATAATAGAAACATAATGGCCACTTTTGTTTTGAAATTAGAAGTTTCTGTATTAGTTTTAAGTATAGTTTACAACTTTGTTAAAGTAAGTGTAAAATAAAAATACCCTTGGTTTAATTGAAAAAGTTTATCATATTGTCCAATGAGCACTGACACAAAATATATTGTACATTAAAAGCTTTGTTACTGAAGTTAGCAACACTGTCACGTATAAAATTAATACTGGACAAGAAAAAGCCCCAATGGTTATTGCTTTTGATAATGTGAGCTGTGCATAAGAAGAGTATCAAAGGCAGAGTATAAAATAATAAATTCAACAGACTAGTCTCCCCCAATATTGGGTCACTAACTTCTTAAATGAAATGCTTAATGATTTGTGGTGGACTCATTTCCTGGACTTCTATTTACACAAGTTTTATTTAATTTCAGGCTCTAAGCAAGTACACCACATTTCCTAAATGATCTCAAGCAAAGTATTTACTGTGTAACACACAGCATAACATCACACAACGTGCAGCACACGTGACAGGGAGAATAATATTGTTGTACCACATAATATGTAAAAGATACACACCTACCAAAGAAGGAGATCAGAAAGGTTGATATCCAAGCACAATTCAGGCATAGTTTTAATGAAAATGCATTTAATTATTAGACTCTTCATAAATAGAATAAAAATCATCCATATGCATCCATTATTTTAAAATTATAAATGTCTAAAGCCATTTTCCTGATATGAAAGATATAAAAAAAAATTTAAATTTTCAAAAATTAACATATATCCTTGTATCAATGATATTACTCCTAACTTATTTTTGCAAATGAATATATTGAAAGTATTCTGAAAGAAAGGTACTAAGAGGAGGTAGACACCACTAGTAGGTAGTATCAACTTATTAGAAAGGTAGTGGGAAGGTAGTTACAATGTAGTAGAATGGTAATAGGCAGTGGTGGGATTCAAATATTTTAACAACAGGTTCTCTCACTAGCAGCATGTAAAAATGTTAGATATTAAAAAAAAGGAGGGGCCAGAAAGCCACCCCCCCATCACTGAGAAAATAAAAATAGGCCGTCACGGATAGTGTTAAAGATTCTTTAGAAACTTTCAATTAAAAAAGTGTTTTATAATCTTTCAACTTAATAAAATTCAAATCTTTATTAATTTCTTCCATATGTAATACGTTAAAAAATATATTTCAAAAAAGTAAAG